GGGGGGGGGGGGGGGGGCATGAACCAACTGGTTCATGGCTGAACAGTATAAACAGATTAATGTCCATAAATTGATTATAAATCAATTGAACTGATTGGTAACAATAATCATGAACTGATTAGTGACAATATAACCAAAATCACAGACACGACTTGTGACTGATAACAACATCTCACACTGTAATGCATGCAGACAGAAGTGAGCTTAAACAGAGTTCCATGAGAACAACAATATTCATTCTGTTAGAGCACTAAGGACAGAATGTGTCATGGAACGAGCCGTTACATCACGTAGGTAAAAGCGAATAAATGAGCAGGGTGTTGACCATGCAACCGCAGTGCAAATGTCCTGCATTGACAAACCATTATGCAGAGCAGTCGAAGATGCGATACCCCTGGTCGAGTGTGCTTAGAGGTTGACAGGAGGCTCTAAATCTGATGCTCTGTAGGCTTCAGAAAAGGCCTCACACAGCCAGTGTGATAAGCGCTGGATGGATAACGGCGACCTGTAGAAACATCTCTATAATGCACAAACCATTGTTGAGTTTGAAACGCATTGCAGCTGTGTGCGTTATGTAACACGTCAAACGCCCGCACCGGGCAGAGAAGATGAAAAGATGCTTCCTCTTCTGATCTGTGGGGGGGAAAAAACCCCTCCAACGATATCACTCTTGATTTAAAAGAGCTCGTGATGTTTTAGGCATAAAAGCTGGGTTGGTCTTAAATCAGCTGAGCTGCCCGTCAGCCTAATTCTAAGGCATGACGAAGCAACAGAGAGGGCAGATAATTACTTACCCTCTTAGCGGGTGTTAAAACCAGCAACAGGGCTGTTAAAAGAGACAAGAATTTAAATGAAACCTGATCCAGAGGCTCAATTGAAGCTTTGATCAGGGCTCGCAGGACCAGCGTTAAACCCACTGTGGAAAACAAGTGGGCGTGAAAACAGGCCTACATCTCTGTACACCTTTTAGAAACCGCTTCATCAGCGGGTGATAAAAGCTGTTCTGACTCCAAACCCTTTGTGGCAGGAAGAGATGGCTGCAATCGTACGTTAAAGCGTACTGAAAGCCAACTCCCTATCCATCAGCTGTTGTAGAAAAACAACACGCCGCTTAAAAGGCATGAGGTGGTCTCTAAACCTTCTCTGTGCACCAGCGCTGAAAAGCCGTCCCCTTGATGTGTACAGAACTGTGGTAGATGCAGCACGTGAATCTTGAATTGTGCACACTATCTCCTGAGGGAGACCCATCCTCTAAGTGGAACCGCTCAGCGGTCAGACCCACCGGTGTTGACCTATTTCTGGGTAACTCTTGGTCGCTCCTCCTGCCTGAAGGAGAGCATCCTTCCTCCATGACAGTTCCACGGCGACCCAACAACAGACGTTGCAGGCCTGGGAACCATAGTGCGTTCACACGCCGGGAGCCACCAAGGAGGGCTGTCAATCCCTCCTCTTGAACTCGGTTCATGGACCGTAAAAAACAGAGGAGGTGGGGGGGAAAGAAACGCGTAAAAAGCGTTTTGGGCCACCGACTGTGAGCAAATGCGTCCCCCCCCAGCGATGGATCGTCTCGCGGGCTCAGGGAAAACCGTAGTTGACATTGAGCGTTCTTCTCGCATCGCAAACAGGTCCACAGCTGCTTTGCCAACTTCTGCTGCGTCTGAAAAACATCAGATCCGGATGGAGGATCCGGTCCACATAACGTGGGCCGCCCTTGGACGTCACATCAGCCCCTCTGTTCAGAACATCGGATATGTAAACTGCTCTAATAAAAGCAGGTTTGATGAACCCAACTCAGTAGCTTCCGCGCAATGTGTAACATCTGGGCTGAACGCACACCCCCCTGGCGGTTTATGTACGCAGCAGTCACCATGTTGTCTGTGTGAATCAACACGTGTTGATTCTGTAGCACGGGAGCAAAAAGTTGAATCACATTCAGCACTGTGCGACACTCCAAAACATTGATGTGGGCTGATGTGCGGTGGGGCCACAGCGCCCCTACTGCTTGAGATAGGCATGTTCCCCACCCCAACCTGACAGAGACGCGTCCGTGAAGACTGACACGTGACGTGGATCTGCTGACGGGGACTCCCTCTGACAGAGCCAGGGTGTTTCCCCAGTGTCGGAGGTCTGCTCCCATGGAGGGAGGGACAGTGATCATCCGTCTCTTTTGTTTTACTGGATCCACACGCAGACGCGTAAACCACCTCTGGAGGCGCCTCATGTGTAACAAACCCAGCGGGACCACTGTGTGAGCTGATGACGTCATTCCCAACAGCTTCATGACGGAGACAGCTGTTACCACTTTGCCAGGTCTTACGTGGCGTAATTGGTTTTTAGAGTGTCGATTCTTGTTTGTGATAAACGAGCCGTCATGGTAATTGAGTTTAATTCCACTCCCAGATAACAATTATCTGGGCCGGGAAAATCGAGCTTTTCTTCCAGTATGGCGAAAACCAGATTTAGCAGGTGTGATGCTAACACCTGAGCCTGTATCAATGCTTCCTGTCTGGAGTGAGACAGGGGCAGCAGGTCGTCCAGGTAAAAACAAAACCCTCATCCCTGCTTGTGCAGTGGATGCAGGGCTGTCTCCACACACTTGAGAACGTACGAGGCGCGAGGGAGTACCCAAAAAAGGCAACCTGTTGTACTGGTACTTCATCCCTTGAAAGGCGAAACGCAGAAATTTTCTGTGTTTTGGGATGATTGGTGTGTGAAAATAGGCATCTTTTAAAACGATGGAGACAAACCAGTCGTTTTCCTGGATGTTGTCCAACAGCTGTCTGTTCATCAACATGTGAAAAAATCTGTTCATGATCGCTTTGATGAAAGCTGACAGATCCAGAATCGGTCTCATCCCTCCGGTCCTTTCGGGGACCAGGAAGTAGCTTGAGTAAAACCCTGTGTTTTCCTCCTCGTTGGGAACTCTTGAGATTACACCTTTTATCAGAAGCTCTTGGATTTCTGCATTTAAGGCTGAGACTTGGTCTGGTGATGACAGGACCGTCTCTATAACTCCTCCGAACGGAGGGGGTCGGGTTGCAAACTGCAGCGTGTAACCCTTGCATAACACTCTGTCCCTCCATCTGTCCGGTGAGCATGTTTTTAACCACTCTGCGTGACGTTCGTGGAGTGGACGTGCGTTTAAATGATGTGCCGTGTTTTGAACGGATGTCATCCAAACCTCCGCCTCGACCGCCGTCATGCGTCGCGGAAATGTTTTCCGCGTGACCCAAGGCGAGGCTTTCTCGAAAGGGCTGTTCTGCGCGCGCCCGCGCGCTGTGACTGGATCGCGGACCAACCTTCATGTCCGGGCGGGGCGGTGTGTGCTGAGGCGAGGCGTGTGTCAGCTGATGAAGTGAAGGTTGTGAGCCTCGCGGGAGCGCACGTTTCCTCTGGAGGGACGCGCGCCGCTCTCGCTGAGGGCGGGGCCCGTCATTGGATTCATTCAGCTGTCTCACGCTTATGCCGCCGTGAGCTGCTGATCGCTGGGACGCGGTGGATGACGGCCACTCGCGTTCATACAGGAGAGGCGTGTGTTGTTTTCGCTGAGAGCAGGGACCTCCACCGGACCCGGCCTGCGGTCCCACATTTATCCCGATGTGGGCCGGTGAGCGCCGGGCAGCTGTGCGTGCATCATCGACACAGTGCCGTTGGATGGAGGCTGCTTGTCTCGCTCGGGAGCGCGTAAACACCGTTGGGAGGTGATCGTGCGGGCCTGATTGACAACAAGTTATTTCGCTTACCGTGGTGTCACGTGAGCGTCTGGGCATGTGAGGGAGCGGCGGTGGATTTAAAAAACCTTTATTTAAGGACACCGGCTCTTTATGAGTGGAGGGTGTGTAGCGGCTGTGAGCTCATCCGAGCTTACAGACTGGCTAAAAACAGGCGTTTTGATCTTTGAAAAATCATTTATTCAATTCCTGTGTCATTTATACACACATCCTCCGCAGACCGTCATTTCTTAAAACTTCTCCCCCGTGAGCTCTGCGGTTTGTTTGCTCCGAGCGCCGTCTGCAGGCGATCTCTGGGGAAAAACGCTGAAGTGCAGGCTGCCGGACTGAGGAGGGGTGGTCTCTGGCGGGCGGGGCTGGTGGTGGAGCTGGGCGAGACGAAGCTGCTGCTGCCGTGGAGCGTCGATGTCTCTGCCTCTGCTTTTGACGATCTCTCCAGCGGGCTGGAGGACGGAATGAGCCGCGCGGCTAGATGAGATGGCGTACAGCTTCCGACGTCTCCTCCGACTGCTTCGAATTCGTCAGCATGGACGTCAAGCTGCTTCCGAACAGCGCGTCCGATGAGATGGGGCCCTCCATCCGGTCTTTGTGCAGCTTTTCCGGCAGCAATGGAGAGTGACGGAGCCAGATGGAACGTTGGATTACCGTCATCCATGCTACAATCCTCGACAGGCAACCCGAGGGAGCGGCGCACATGTTGAGGATGGCGTCTGCCGATCTACACAGGGAGCTCTTAGTCTCCTCCGGCAGGTCTGAGGTCTCAGCCTTTTCGACATGCTAAATGCTAGCAGCGCATGTTGTTGCTAACTGCGGTTGCCTGAAAACACGTCGGTGGGCTCGATTGGAGAGCTTTGGTCGCCGTCTGGTTCCTCCGGAGGGACGGGACGCTGCTCCGACCTGGACAGCTTCGCTCCGGAAGCTTCCGCGAGGCTTGGCTCCAGGGGAGGGAACCGAGGAATAGCGTCAGTTGCCTTACAGAAGGAGTTCTTTGTCTCCAAGGCAGGTCTGCGGCCTTCAGTCCCTTGGACATGCTATATGCTAGCAGCGCACGTTATTGCTAACTGCGGCTGCCTGGAAAAACACGTCAGTGAAAAATAACCTTTCCGCCGATCATCCGAACTGGCGGGAAAAGGCGAGGGACGTAGAAAAAGGGGGTCCCTTCATGTCAGCCTCCTCCCGGGTTCCGCCGGGCAACCCCTGAGGGCGCTGTCGGCCGGGAGCGGTGTGATCGCCGATGCGAAAACGAGGTGGGATGGGGTGAGCATTCACTCAGCCCCCCTCCACCTACACTACGCTCCCCGGGAGGGAATGAGCAGCGGGGGCTGCAGCTGAGCACACCTTGCCCCGGAGGAACCATCCGGTTCGCCCCGAGGGTCGGCGATAAGAGGAAAAAACACAAGATGGCGTTGTCCAGCGTGTAGTGACCTGTCACTGGGAAATGTTCCACGACGCTTACCTTGGAATAAGACTGCTGTCATCTTCTCCTCGGGGAGGAGAACTCACCGGACGACCGGAGGTCGACTGCCGGGCCCAGCATCCTTCACAAGGTTGGTCATTTACACAACTTATCTTCTTTGTTCTTCTGACAGTGCTATATTAGCTCGCTGAAGAAAAAATGGGAGCCGATTTCCCGCTCTTAACGTAATTTATACGGACCGGGTAGGGCCCACACAGCAGGTGGGCGTGGACTAATTTTTTTCAGTGCTTATGCTCTGCATAACGGGATAAACCCACTAAAGCGAAGGCCTTAAAGGGCGAAGCTTATATGACATAGAACATATGGTTTACGAGCTTAACCGTAAGGTGGAGGCGATTTATGAGAATCGCAGGCCACCTGCGGCTTCTGGGACTCGTCAGCGTGGTGGGTTCGACCTTGAAGGAGACTCATAGCATGGATCAGTGGAATGGAATCCCACAATTAGGCATTTTCGGAACCAGAACGCCCAGATGGACTCAAGGCTGGAAAAAAGTCATCTCTGCCTGAAGAAAAACAAGAATCAAGTTTATCTGAATCTGACTCCCCGACGGCCTTGGAGATGGGCCGACTATCAAATTTCTCCTGGGACATGGGTAACCAAGGACAAAAGCTTCATCTATCTAAGCAGAAATAAGCTTAAATTACCAGAAGAAAGTGGAGAGAGCATATTTCTGCTGAATTGGGATAACAATGTTGAAATGAATGCAACAAAAGTGGAATTAGCTGAAAAAATTAAAACAGCTAAATAGTAGCTGAAATAGCAGAAAAAGCTGAAACTTCAAGAAACACGTTGAAAAAAGCACAACAAGCTGAAATTAGCAGAAAGACAAAAGAGGAAGCACGAAAATGTTGTAGTTAGCAGAAAGCTCCTGAAACAAGCACAAAACAGCAGAAAAAACAGTTAAAATTAGCTCAAACTAGCTAAAAAAAATTAAATTTGCACAAGGAAGCTGAAAGCAGCTGAACCAAAATATAAAAGGAGCAGTAAAAGGTTGTAAACAGATCGAAAGGTTTGACGGATGTGAGCTCAATTCATTTTCTATGAGGAAAAAAAAAATGACATAAAAGACTAAATATTTCAAAAAGCTAAAGTTGAACCAATGCCAAAAATCACATCACCCTTCTACTGAACGAGCTGAACATTTTGATATTTGATTTGTTGAAATAGCCCAAAAATTGTGGAACGAGAAAGATGCTGACAGAAGAAAAATGGATCACAATAGTGTGAATGCTTCCGAAACAGTCACACTATTTAAATAAATCTATTTTTTCAGCTGGATTCAAAACGCTCAGACTGTGAGGGTTATTTTAAACAAGGCCCCTGTTAGCTGAAGATGCAGAAGGCAGTGACTGTATTGAGCAAGACCCCATGAATGTTTGTATTCACTCCTCAGTGAATTTTTAATCCCAGATCTTTGACCAACAAAAAATAAATAAATAAATAAACGGGGACAGAGATTATAGAAACACAGAACAGAACAGCATTACAGCTCCTGTTGATCTAAAGGAAGTTCAGAACATTTATTTTTAAACCAAAAAGTCAATCAAGATAAAGGTTGTTAAAGTCAAAGGAAGAGTTTTTTATTTTTTTAGTGAACGCTCACTTCACATCTGTGGTGTCTAAATGTAGCCCTGTCTTGTTTGAAGATGACATCGTTTGACTTTAGTCTGGGTTTTATGGACCAGAGAGTCCAGATGTGCACAAAGTACCTGCCTTTCTTCTAACGGTTTTGTGTTTGGATCTATTCAAACATTCATTTTCTACTCTTGAGGGAGACAAGGGACTGTCTTGAAACAGAATATTAAAAATTGTCCAAATAGTTAAGACTTAATCATTTTAATGCACTGTGGCCCAATAAAGTGAAAACAGGCATCGGCCATTAAAATAATATAATGCCAAGCTGTAATAAAAGATTCATAAGAATTAAAATCAGTTCAAAACACATGAGAGATTAGAATAAAACGAGCAGGATAAAACCTGTCTGTCTTCATTAATTCACAATAGACAAAAACATAAATATTTTTCCCGCCTAATATTTGATAAAAATGGTTGCAGATTAATAAAAATGTAGGAGTTTATGTTTGGAGGATGCTTCTCTGGAAAGAACCCCACATAACTATGGGATGGGTGCAAACGTTTCCTGAAAATGTGTTTTCTCTCTAAATCCAGATGGAGAAATCATCAGTCAGATTAAAATGACCAATCTAGTCTTGGCTGAGATTAAAGAGCTGCTGAAGCAACAGGTACAGTTTATCCTTCTAAAAATTAGGCATTTTTCAGACTTTAAACAATTTATATTTAGAATCAACTTTTAAACTGGATCAGGATAATTTACGGTTAATGCTGTACATCTGGTGTAACTGGTAGAAAAATAAATGTAATTTCCTAATATGTTGCACGTTACAGGTTAGAGAGCTCGTGTTCCTGAAGAACACAGTGATGGAGTGTGAAGCCTGTGGTGAGTTAAGCAGCACCCTTCATTCAAAACTTACTTCCTCTTTTGATTTTTGATGCCATAACGAGGACGTTGTCTGAAATAAATTTCCCAGATTTAGCTAAATTTCCAAATAGTTTCCAGACATTAAAGTACTTCACAGACTGAATGCAGATTTATGTCGTTTCATTGTTATTTTTATCAGAGGAAGCTGAACAAGAAGTTACTGTAACTTTAAAACACACAAAGTTAAAACGAGAGTTGTTTTCTTCATGACAGAACAAAATGTGACTCCTGTCCTCTGTTTAGGAATGGGAGGGATTCAGCCCGTTTCCTCCTGTGTGCCCAACCCCTGCCACCCCGGGGTGAAGTGTGTGGAGAAACCCGATGGTGCAGAGTGCGGGCCCTGTCCTGATGGCATGCAGGGCAACGGGACTCACTGTACAGACGTGGATGAGGTGCAGAAACATGACATCTTAAACATGAAACAAGGCTTCTGTTTCATATTTGTGTAATTTAAAAAAAAAAATTTTGTGATAAAATAATTATATTTTGTGCTTTTGTATCATATTCTGCCTTTGTCTTTGGCTGTTCCTGCTTGGGAATCACCTTGCCAAAAAAACAAGTATTTTTGCTAGTTGAATTGTGTAAGCAATTACCTTTTTTTGCAACTTGATGCTATTTACAAAGTGCCTAAAAATCCAAGTTAATTTTTTTGCTAAGGTTTTATATGTAGATGCAAGACTGGTTCACATGTTGAGTTTAGGGACCTTTTATGCCACAAAAAAAATCACAGTTTCTTAACTAATCAACAAACAAACAAAATGTTCTTCTGAAACCAGTCATGGAAGAAAACTGAGCAAAAAAGCAGTCTATTATAATCATCTATTCTTTATTTTTAAGAAACAGGAAGAAATATTGTCAAAGAGCAAATTATATAAAATGAGGGGTGGCTCAGAATGTTTCCTAAGGCTGTTCATGCAAATATAAATGCATCCTGGCCAGACACAACGGTCAGTGAGTTATGGCGTATCATGTCGGCATCCTACATTTTATTACAAAATAGTGTCAGAGCTTTATATAGAAACAAGCTGTGCAGCGAGGAGCAGAAACATCTGCCTCTTGGAGAACAAAACCCTGCAAATCCTGCCTAACGGAGTCAAAGAAATAAAAAAAAGTGGAGTTGATTTGCATGTGAGTGCAGCTCTCATAAAGAGCTTCAGGACTGTTTCAAAGCTCCACTTTTCATTTAAATTGTCAAAAATACTCAAACGAGAAACAAAAACACCTGACACTCCTGGTTTGTTGGATGGGTCGCTGATCTATTTGAATCACCTGAAAGATCTTTACAGCACATGCAGTTGATCCTTTGACCTGACGTGTGTGTGTCCTTGTTGTTTCCAGTGCAAGGTGATGCCCTGTCATATGGGCGTTCGGTGCATCAACACCTCCCCTGGTTTCCGCTGCGGCTCCTGTCCTGCAGGCTACACCGGACCTCAGGTTCAGGGTGTCGGGCTTGCTTACGCATCTGCCAACAAACAGGTGAGGGACTCGTTTCAATCACAGCTAAACTACACTTAAATTGATACTATTATTATTATTAGCACTGATGCTGCATTTCTTCACTTGTTGTTTTTGTTGGTGACAAGATTGTATTTAAGTCCCTTCTCTTCATTTACTGTTGTTTTTAAATATGCTTTATAACTAAAATGACTTGTTTGTTGTTTTTACATGAAAATGTGTTTTTTTCTGTTTGTCCATAAAAGGTGTGCAAAGACATTAATGAGTGTGAAGGTCCCAACAATGGAGGCTGTGTGGAGAACTCTGTGTGCATGAACACACCTGTGAGTATAACACATTGATCTTTAGCATCATGAACCAAAGATAAAATGTACACAAGACAAAAAGCTTTAGAACAGCTTTAATTTAAATGTTTTACAGGCTTTTACATGTTCCCTAAGAAACTATTCAAACACTTATAATTTATTAAAATTGTATATATTTTTTGGCAGAGAGAAAAGCTAACTTTGGCACAATTTGACCTAAAAATCAATTTTTAGTCAATAAAATAATTATTTACCAAGAGTATAAAAATGCTACATTTGTGTAGTGAACTAGGCCTCAGGTCGAATCTGGCCTTGGGGGGCCTTCCTGGAACAAGAACTGTATTTCATTGATTTGAGTCCAGAAACACAAGATTAAGTTCATCCAGAGACTTTTTAAGTGTCCTGCACTGATCAATTGAAAGAACACTCTCTTTTCTATTATCATTACTATTTTACAAATGTTTTGATAATCAAAGTGTGTTTAGTTCAAACCATTTTCAAATGTTGAAGTGAAC